TTTTTTTTTTTGATACAATTTGCAGAAAAATCGTCTCCCAGCAACTATTGCTGTTTTTTTTTTGCTTAGGAAAGGTCTTTCAACCTACCATTTATCATTAATCCCACCATGTTTCTGTCTTTTCTGTAACCCTCAAATTCTATCAGTTGTTTTTACAGAAATGGTAGGGATAGTATTAGCAATAAAAGCAGTTCGTAGTATTGGTAGTAGTGGTAGTAAGCTGTGAAAACAGCTAAAGAGGCAATAGTCAACTCATTAATTGATATGAATTATAAAATTTCTTGTGTCTTCAGGAGATTGTAATTTCTGATAACACCAATCACTGTGTTGACTGTAAACGTCAACTTCTGACCGCCTAAGTTATCAAACCAAACTTGAAATAATCTTTTCAAAAGGAAAAATTTTTCAATGATTTATTAGATCTGCTTGAAAAATAGGACTTTTTCTGAAACAGAAGAGAAAAAAGTTGTTTCTTTGACTTTTGCAACAGAAAAAAAAACTTGATAGAGAAGCAGTTATGCTAAAAGTAAGGAATAAAAATATTTATCTGATTGTTCACTTTCTCTTTTGTCTTTTTTCTTTTCCAACAAATTGGAAACTTAATAAGAGATGGTTTCTGATTTATTCTCAGCTATGTAAAGATCAACAGTGAAAATAGTTAATTTATTAATTGGTGCAAAGCTAAATAATTTTCAGTTCATTCAATGATCCCTATGTTTGAACCGTCTTAAAATATTCAACAATAATTTCAATGTGATCAATTTACCTTCTAAAAATCTAAACCAAAAAAAAAATTAAAAATAAAAACAGGAGAAAGTGAGATTTGAAAAATTATATGACTGTCGCAGATGAAACGCTAATTTTCTAAAAAAAGAAAGAATGTTAAAAAAAGACTTCGGATCCTCTCCAACATTGTTTTTTAAGCTTTCTGATATCATAATACTACTAATATATATCGTTCGACCAAATTTTTCTGCTAGTTGCTTTGTCTCCTTTAACTGCCCTTTTTCCTCTAATTGCTTACATCTTCTTACTGATTGACTTATTTCCCAGTTTACTGCAGATTGCAGTTGGCGGCAACAAAAAGTTGTCAAATTTTCGCCATTGAAATGTCACTAAAAATATCAAAATACAGCTTGTAACCTATCATTTTTTTATATTAGTCATCCACCCATCTCAGCAAATTGCTTAAACAAGCTTCTACCGCCTATTCTGAAAATTTCTAAAACTAACCTTTGATAGCGCCTGCAAAAGAAGCGAACAAAAAAATCATAAAAATAATATTCTGATCTGCAAAACTGCTGCAAATACTTCCACAATATTGCACCTCTGTTCTTCAACATCGACTCTAATTTTTTGCCGTCATTTGTTATAGTTATATTGAGACAGCATGTCTAGGACAAGTGATTTTTGATATACCATGATCAAACATAAGGGCTTCCTGTTTCCTCTTGGTATAATCTGCACAACATAAGATCCTATATCATCATCAGCAGACCTTTCTAAATCATTCCAGTCTCGTAGTTTATAAAAAAAAAATGTATACTTAATGTCAACCAAAATCTCTTTTTAATTTTGAATAATTTTAACTTCTAACGTATACTTTTTTTGAAAATTTTGAAAAAAAATTCAAAATTGGTAAGTTGAGTAGCTCTGAAAGACTTTTTTTTACAGGTAAAAATATCAAAAGCTGTCGGCTGTTCAATACAAAAGAAAAAGAAAAAAGAAAATACTATTATACCCAACAATCATGCAAAATTTACTGTTTCTGATCGGATCTGTTATATTGCTGGAAAGTATATCATTCTCTAGATCCTACACCCTAAACTATGAATTAGAGGAGCTAAAAGACTTACAACCAGCTGCAGTTTTTTTAGACAAACTCTATGATTCTGTACAAAAAGGTAAACTTATTTGATTAATCAGTTTTTTTTTTCTACTTAAAATATTGATTCAAAAGAGAGAACTGCAACAATTTAGCAAAAAATAAATCTTCTAAATTTTTAAAAGCCCGCAACATTATGTATTAAATATAAATATTGTGAAAAGTGGATTTACTATTTACTAAAATACTGCAGAAATTTGCATAGAAATTTTTTGCAGCCAAAACCAAAAAACGCCGTGAACATCGTTGGTCAGTTGGCAATTCGCCGTACAGTTTTGGCAAAACTGCTGTTGTATCAGTGGACATTTTACGGGGACAGGAAAGACGACGAAAGCAAAATTTGGAAGCCACAGAAGCAGCATTTTTTCCGGGCAGAATAAGATTTTAATGCAAGGAGAAATTTTTTGAAATATTTGAAGCTGATTCAAACAACAAATAACATCATCATTTTCTGCATTATCATTGTCATCACCATCCATCATCAGCAACAACAACCAAAATAAATAATTGAAAACAAAAAGTTTTCAAAACAA